CGCCTCCCCCGCCTCCCCCGCTGCTGCCGCTGCCGCTGCTGCTGCTGCTGCTGCTGCTGCTGCTGCTGCTGCTGCTGCTGCTGCTGCTGCTGCTGCAGAATGACTACCCGTTTCCTTACAAAGTAACTTTAGAAGTTTCTTCTTGCGACCAAAGTGCTGTCGACGCGCTGCGCAAAGTCGGGGGGGTTTGTCGCGTGGTGTACAGACACCCCCTCAACCTCCGCGCACACCTCAAACCCCACAAGTTCGACGTGCTCCCCAAAACCGTGAGGGTTTAGGGTTTAGGGTTTAGGGTTTAGGGTTTAGGGTTTAGGGTTAGGGTTTGGGGCTAGGGTTTAGGGTTTGGGGTTGGGGGAGGGAGGGGGAGCACCTCAAACCCCACAAGTTCGACGTGCTCCCCAAAACCGTGAGGGTTTAGGGTTTAGGGTTTAGGGTTTAGGGTTTAGGGTTTGGGGCTAGGGTTTAGGGTTTGGGGTTGGGGGAGGGAGGGGGCGCACCTCAAACCCCACAAGTTCGACGTGCTCCCCAAAACTGTGGGGGTTTAGGGTTTAGGGTTTGGGGTTTGGGGTTTAGGGTTAGGGTTTGGGGCTAGGGTTTAGGGTTTGGGGTTGGGGGAGGGAGGGGGTGCATTTCAAACCCCACAAGTTCGACGTGCTCCCCAAAACTGTGAGGGCTTAGGGTTTAGGGTTTAGGGTTTGGAGGCTAGGGTTTAGGGTTTGGGGGGGGAAGGGGCACTACAATTTCGGCGTGCTTTCGAAATGCGTGAGGGTTTAGGGTTTAGGGTTTAGGGTTTTAAGGGATCAGGGGCAGTTTTGTGGAGGTGGCTTCACGAGAGCCTTGCTAGGGTTTAGGGTTTAGGGTTTAGGGTTTACGCGGAGCGGAAACGCTACGCCCCGAGCCCCTCACCGCAGAACGCCCCAAACCCTAACCCCCAAACCCCAAACCCTAAACCCTAAACCCTAAACCCTAAACCCTAAACCCTGCGTTCAGGCGAGGCCTTCTTTGGAGGCAGTTCACTTTTTGGAAAAGATGAAAGCGAGGGGTTGCGAAGTTTCTTTTATTCCTCCGAAGTTTTTGGAAGAAGAAAACAAAAGAATTAAAAGACAACTTGAAGAACTTTGGGCTGAAGAACAAGTTGCTGCTAGTGAGCACAAACCCTAAACCCTAAACCCTAAACCCTAAACCCTAAACCCTAAACCCTAGAGGCTGAATTCTAGGCCATAGAGTTGTTAGAGGAGTAAACAAAAGAATTAAAAGACAACTTGAAGAACTTTGGGCCGAAGAACAAGTTGCTGCTAGTGAGAACAACAAACCCTAAACCCTGAACCCTAAACCCTAAACCCTAATCTAGCGAGCCATCTAAACCCTAAACCCGAATTATTCGATTCATTTCTTGCTCTTACTACTTCAATTTTTTGACCCTTAAACCCTAAACCCTAGCCTCTAAACCCTGACTATCGTAAACCCTAAACCCTAAACCCTAATTGTCATAGTCCTTGTAAACCCTAATTACCTGAAGCCTAGTCATGTTACACAAACCCTAGCCATCCGAAACCCTAAACCCTAAACCCTAAACCCGTGAACGGGAGGACGCCGAAAGCGGAAGACGCGTTCAGGGTTTAGGGTTTAGGGTTTACGAGGGTTTAGGGTTTATGAGGGTTTAGTTTTTACGAGGGTTTAGGGTTTACGGGCGTCTGGGGGCTTCCTAGGGTTTGCACGGGTGGAGGGCCTGGGACTTCGGGAAGGCCCTAGGGTTTAGGGTTTGGGATTTGGGGTTTAGGGTTTAGGGTTTGGGGTTTAGGGTTTAGGGTTTGTGCGTCTAGGGGAGTCTGTTTCTGTGGCCCCCAAGTCAGCCGACGAGAAGAGCATTTCTGACTTTAAGGCCAAAGGCTTGAAAGTCAGTTAAATAGCTAGCTAGCTAGCTAGCTAGCTAGCTAGCTAGCCAGCTAGCTAGCTAGCTAGCTAGCTAGCTAGCTGGCCAGCTAGCTGGCTAGCTGACCAGCTAGCTAGCTGGCCAGCCAGCAAGCCCGGTGGCTGGCTAGCTTTCTGGCTAGCTAGCTAGCTACCAGGCTTGGTAGCTAGGTAGCTGGCTGGGTGGCTAGCTAGCTAGCTAGCTAGCTGGCTAGCTAGCTGGGCAACTGAGTAGCTAGCTGGGTAGCTAGCTAGCTAGCTAGCTGTGCAGCTAGCTGGCTTCGCCAGCCCAGCTAGCTGGCCCGGGCCCGCTAGCTAGCCACCATTTTGCCATTCAAGAGGCTAGCTAGCTAGCCAGCTAGCTAGCCAGCTAGCCGGCCAGCTAGCTAGCTAGCTAGCTAGCTAGAGTGAGAACTGCCCACGTGAGCAGGCGCCGTGGAGGCGCCCAGAGCTAGCCAGCTAGCCAGCCAGCTAGCTAGCTCGCTGGCTAGCTAGCTAAAAGCCGGCTGGCTAGCTAGCTAGCCAGCTAGCTAGCCAGCTAGCCAGCTGGCTGGCTGGCTAGCTAGCCAGCTGGCTAGCTAGATGCTGC